CCTTTGACCCAACTGTGCCTTTGAGGTCCAAGCGGTCCTCCTGCGGGGTGTCACTTCAGAATTTGAAACAGAAATGTTTATAATAAACAGTTCAGCTTGGAGGCTCGTCAGATGTGTGGGATTAGATCGGACATGTCGGCTCCCAGCACGCATGAATTCAGCTGCTTGATAATGTACAGAGTTTAGATAATGAACATGTTTATCATGCTGAAAGGTTTTAAAATGTTAAGACCAAATGCAACATTAGAGGCATTTATTACTGATCAGGTTCAATGAAAACACATTTTTTTACTTGTTATTTTTTGATTGAAATGTTTATTTGAACATAAGACAAAATATTTTTAAAAAGTCAATGAACATAGTAGAAAAGAAAAGATATACCAATAAAAAGGAAGTCTTTGTCCAAAGGGAATAAGAAGAAGCAAGTGCTTATTCAATCCCACCCCCTTGACTTACATACATACATACACACACACACACACACACACACACACACACACACACACACACACACACATACATACACACACGCATACATACATACATACATACATACATACATACATACATACATACATACATACATACATGCATACACACATACATACATGCATACACACACACACATACACACATACACACATACATACACACACACACATACACACATACATACATGCATACACACACACACATACACACATACACACATACACACACACACACACACACACACACACACACACACACACACATACAGACATTCATACATACATACATACATTGATATTTATATATATATTTATATATATATATATATATATATATATAAATATATATATATATATATATATATATATATATATATATATATATATATATATATATATATATATATATATATATATGCAGCTACTAATGAGAGCATTTTGCATTAACATTTTATGGTACCAGTGATAGTAATAATAATAATAACAATGACAATAATAACATAAACAACAGCAAAATAATAATAACAAATCATAGTTTCCATGACCTCAGAGAACCTCTTTTTCATATCCATTAATTATAATTTTATATACTGTGATTTAAATTTGTTTATATTTGGACACTGTTTGTGTATTTCCTGCAGCCCATTCCACAGTTTCACACCACATACTGATACACAGAAACTCCTTTTAGTGGTTCTTACCTTAGGCATTTTAAAATTTTTAGTCCTTCGTAAATGATATCCCTCATCACTCTGGTTGAAGAGCTTTTGAATATTAGGTGGCAATAAGTGCTTACTAGCTTTAAACATGATTTGAGCTGTTTCATAATGAACCAGGTCTTGAAGTTTAATGTATTTAATGTATAGTGGGTGTAGTGCATTTTTATAATTGTTTCCCCAAAGTGAGTGCCACAGTAAGTGAGATATGGCAGAACTAACGAACAAATAGAATATGGAGTGATTTACAGTCCAACAGTTGCTTCATTTGATTTATAATTGCAACGTTTTTTGCTGCTTTGGTTTGTATGTGTCTAATGTTATCCAGTATCACACCCAAAATTTTGATTTCATTACCATTGTCAATTTTTCCATCGTCAATCTTTATACACACTTCTGTTTTGTTTTTACAATTGCCAAACGTCATTACCTTTGTTTTTTCTATATTCAATGATAATTTATTATTATTCATCCATTTTTTTAGTTTACTTAATTATTAATTATTTCATTGAGATCATTTCCAGCGTAGAACAAATTTGTATCATCAGCAAATAAGATCATCTTCAGAGTTTTGCAGACTTGAAAAATGTCATTTATATATATATTAAATAGAGCAGGTCCTACTACTGACCCCTGGGGGACACCACAGGCAATCCCCATGCTTTCAGAAGTGACATCATCCATTTTTACAAATTGTTGTCTCTTAGATAATTAATTGGTGATCCAGTCCAGTGCTATTCCCCTAATGCCGTACTCTTGTAGCTTGTTTATGAGAATTTAGTGATTTATTGTATCAAAAGCTTTCCTAAAATCTATGAATACTCCAATAGCATATTTACCTTTATGTAATGTATTAATTATTTCATTGGTTGCTTCCATTATTGCAAGTGCTGTTGTCTTCTTTTCTCTGAATCCATACTGACTATGGTTTAGTATTTCGTGTTTATTTAAAAAGTTTTCTAGTCTGATATTAAATAGTTTTTCCAGGATTTTTGAAAATTGAGGAAGAAGTGATACTGGCCTGTAGTTGTTAAATAGATGTTTATTCCCTTGCTTAAAATTTGGTAGTACTTTAGCTACTTTCATTTTCTGAGGAAATAAACCAGTTTGGAAGGAAAAGTTAAATATATATAAGTTAATGGTTTTAGAATACCATCAATAACTCTTTTAACCAACACCATATAAATACCGTCACGATCAGTGGAGACTTTGTTGTTACATTTGTCAACAACTGATTTAACTTCCAACTCATCCACTGCTGAGAGGAAGATTGAGTCGGGTTAGTTTGTTTTTATCAATGGTTCACTTATTGTCTGTTTTTTTTGGCTTGGTTGGGTTTTCACAGCATCTGTCTGCGTTCCTTCATGGGGGTTTGTTGCTTGCCGCTCAAGGCTACCAGGGCATCAGATCTGGATAACAAGAATTTGTTTGGGTCAGGCTGAGATAATTTTCCTCTCTGCCTTCAGTCTTTAAACTGATCATTCCAGTCCTTCAGTGAAGCCAATTTTGGGTTTTAAACTTGTCCATACCGTCCGGTGACTCTCTCCGAGATGACATCCATTTTGAGCACTAATACCAGTATTGCAGCTAGAACATTGTCCAGCTTACGATTCACCTCGAGTAACATCCCAGTCTGTGAAGTCTCCACACGGACGGTGCTTTCCACGGGTGCGGGTCGCCCTCCAATCGCTCCCGTCTTTCCAAATTTCCAGAAAACCAGATATCCTCCCACTCCAATCAGGAGAAATCCAGTGATCATCAGGCCAAATATCCACACGTCTTCGACATCCTCAATGGACAGCTGGGAGAGGCATATGATCTTCCATTCCTTCCAGGAATCCAGCATATACCCCACCGGGTGTGTCCCCTGTGGACATGTGGGAGCCCCCTGCTCCGTTCTCATTGTTCCAGCTCCGTTCTCATTGTCCCACTATTCCTTAGTTTGTTATATCCCAGGCACCTTTTAAGTTATTCTTATTTTCATTTAGGATTTTTCTGTAATATATCTTTACTAGTTCTTCTTATTTCAGTTAATTTATTTGTGTAAACTTTATATCTGATTTAAGCTTTGTAGTTTACTAAAATTCCTATAAAAACTATTTTTCTTTTTACAAGCATTTTGTAATCCTTTAGTTAGCCATGGGAGATTTTTATACTTATGACTTCTATTAACGACCTTGACTGGACAATTATTGTAAAGTGTCTTAAATACGTCAATAAATTTACTATATGTCAACGTCATCTTCCCTATAGACTACATCCCAGTCTTAGGATTGAAATATGATAAGTCACTCTGAGTTTACCATGCAGGCTGAACGTGAAAATAGTCTTCTAACCCTATTTCCTGTATTAGCTGCTGATAGGTGCAAATAGATGGAGAAATGTTTGGATTAGAAAAGTCATGGACTCGCCTATTTTGGCTCGCAACGGGGAAGGCTGTTGATGTTTTAGCATCCAGGAGAGAGTAGAGCATGCCTCGGCTAGTAGAATCTAACTGTTAGCATTAGCAACTCCACAACATGACCAAACTCCTTCAGGCTTGTGTTATTTGTGGAGATAAAACATCAACATTGCAGAGCGAACGGAGGCAGAGGAAGAGTGACGATAATTTTAGAGAGTACCATGAATACTAATGGGTAAGACTCCAAATCCTGCTGTTTTCAGCCCACCTCTCCTCTGATTAACTCCTGCTTCCTAAAACAGAAGAACAAAGATATTCAATTACAATAGAGACTACAGCAAATGGATTGAAAAAATGAGTGACTGAGAGCTTCAAAATAATATACAAGCTACTTAAAAGTCGAACCAAAACATCTTGAGTCACGCGAGACTGTGTTTTAATTATTAAAAACCTAATTATGGAGAAAATAATAATTTGAATATACAGCAGCAAGGTTAGAACCACAGGAATCATGAAAATTGAACCACGACCTATTTTTTATGTTTTAGTCAGGTAATAGTTATTTTCATTTACATTGAGAAGGCGGGGCTTAAGAATTTAGTTTGCATCATGTCCCCACATCCAGTTATACATGGAATCAGATTAATCTCAAGAAATGTTATCCTACTTTCATAAATCTTTGCTGAAAAGCCCTGTTTGTTTGTTTGTTTTTTCGGTGATCGAAACTTTATTGAGTCAAAGGTTTTCATGCACCCTAAGAAAATAAAAGGTTTAATTTACTTAACCAAGTTATGGTTGACTGGTTCCCATAGATGGAAATTCCGGGGGGGGCAAGGGGGACACCCCCCCCACCCCCTTTCCCTGCGTAAAGTTGTCCCCCCAAAAATATTCCTCTCTGAAATTTTACTGTTTATTGCCCCCTCCAAAATGAAATGGGATATCCGCCCCTGCTGGTCCCACTAAACATAGCTGGTTAATTGTAATATGCATTGTTCTATGTTTTGTTAAAAGCAAATGCACATTACTCTTTCTATTTAGGCAACTAGTGGAACCAGTTGACATAAATTGGTCAAGTAAATTCAAAGATTTGATTTCTTTCCATTTACAAATTCTATGTTGTTACTTTCATCTTCCTGCAGATGAAATATAGATGGAGATAGTTAACTGAGTTGGCTGATGTTACTTTGCTGCATTTAGCCTTTTTCACACCGCTAATCAGTGCACATCGAGCTACAACCTGCTCAGAGCTTTAAATTGTCTAGATTTTATTGTAGTTTCAACATTTTCTCCTGTTTTATTTTTCACTGCTGATTTTATATTCTAGTCTTAATAATAGTTTTTTTAAACAACGTTTAGTTTGATGTCTAAAACACTTAGTTTCTGTTTCCACAGATGGAAGACATCGTGACACGAATACAAGACGAGAAAGCAGGAGGTGTTGCCATCCGGACCGTTAAAAGCTTCCTCTCCAAGATCCCCAGCGTGGTATCAGGTGAACATCATAAAACGTGTGTGTGCCGGTGTTTGCTTGACTTACCCGGGGAATCAGACTCAGGGACAACATCTACTGCTCCTGAATCAGTTAAACAAGGGCGACTGCTGCATCGATGGAAAGAGGCGGGAGGCATCTTTCCGGATGAGACGGTGCCTGTGGTGGAATTCAGTGTTGGTCCCAAATGCAGAAAAGCTGCTTCTGTCCTGTTGGTGCGCAGGCTTTTCTTTCCATTACACATGTGATTTTGTGTGAAATGACTCACCGTCTCTGGACGAGGAGGAGGTGCACCCTCCTTCCGTGAGGCTGTCAGACCTTCGTGTGGCTCCCACCGGGTCTAACAGCCTCACGATCTCTTTCAGCAACCTCTGCTGAGCGCCGATTCGAGGCAGGGCCGATTGTTCTGTCAAGGAGCACAAAGAGAAGAACCACACCAAACCTGTCGACATCAGGCTATATTTAAACACTTACTCGAGTCTGACAGCTTTGACCTGCAGCTTTGAGCACAAGCAAACCACAACCGCCTCTTGAAGGCCTTTTTTGTTCTTATTTTGTATCTTCTCCACATTTCTTCTAACCAGTGTTTTATTTTTTTTATTTTTTTCAAATAATAGGGGCAGACATTGTTCAGTGGCTGATGAAAAACCTCTCTATTGAGGATCCAGGTAGGCCTGATGAGAAATCTGTCTGTTCATGTGCACAGTTTTCAGTATGGAGATGAAAAATACTATTTTATGTGTTTGTTTGTTTTTTTCTGGTCTTACGTCACCAGCTGAAGCCATCCACCTCGGGAGTCTGATTGCAGCTCACGGCTACATCTTCCCCATCAACGACCACGTTCTGACTCTAAAGGATGATGGAACCCTGTACCGATTTCAGGTACCGAAAGGTCCGACGATGGACTGGCCTTGATATGTTTTAGGAGGACCACTGAGCGTAAAATAATGAGATGATGGTTGTTTATCAGACGGATGTGTTTACTGCATGATGCTAATGAGAGCAATCCTTCCTAAGCCTATTACTCATTCCACCAAGGTCGATACCATATACGCCTGCTGCAGGCTGCCTGAGAGCCGGAGGAGGTTGGTAGAACAGGCCACACAGGTCAGCCGTGGTGATCATCAAAATGCTTTTTAAAAAAAATCTTCACTTCATCTGATCCATCAGGAACTTTGACAAGTTGTGCTGCATTGGTAGCGCGAACATTTTAGACCTGCAAACCAGTCGGAGCAGGTGAGCCCCTTGAAAGGAGGCTCTGAGCCAGCTGCACGCTGGCTTTGCACTTTTTATTATCCTCCTCTTCCTCCTCCCCCTCCTTCTCAGTCCACCTCTGAAAGCATTTATCTTCGCCTCTATTGCACAAAATTAAAAGCCATTATTGTGCCCGTGCAGGGAGGGCTGTGTGTGCCGCGCTTGCTCATTCAGCAGGGGGCTAAAAATATTCCCTGTGATGTCGATGCAACAGGCAAGCATCGTCAGAACCTCTGAACAGAGTCCACAATGCATTGGTGGTGAATTGCCCAATCTGCATAGCTGCACTGTAAGACACAGTGGCAGTCTAAAAATAGAAACTGTAGAAGACCCAGTTTTAATGTTTTGTCACACTTTTTGTGCAGAATGCTCACAGATCAGCTGGCTCCATTCTGAGCTGACGAAGCTGAACAAAAGCAAGTCAATTGTTCTTTTCTTTACGTTCTAACAGGTTCATTCATCAGCAGCAGCCTTTTGCCTGAAGGCTAATTACCTGCTTCATGACAAATAGTGCAAATGAAAAATGTGGCCGATAAGTTCTAATTCTGTCCCATTATTAAGAATGTCCAACAAATGTGAGTTATCAGTTATTAATTAAGTTGGAAAGGGACGCTGAATCTGCGATATAAGTTGCAATCTACAAAGCTGGGAGTGTAATGCAGATTATATTTAAGAAAAATCTGTTTGTGCTTTGTTCCCGTCTGTTTTCACCAGTCTCCGTACTTCTGGCCCTCTAACTGTTGGGAACCAGAGAACACAGACTACGGTGAGTCACACGCATTCTGTCGATTTCTCCAGAGCTAAGATCTCCCTAATGCCTTCAGCTGTTTCTTTCTCCTCAGCTTAAACACAGCTCACACTGTAGATCTGCTGTTGACACTCAGTGAGTATTGATCCAAAGGGCCATTCCCAGTAATGTATCTGGCCTGAGGAACATGTACTGGATGGAATCCTGTGGGAAAAGACTGTCTAACAAATCAGGGACCAGTGACTGAACTGGCCTCATCTCTAGCTCTTTATGTGTGTGCAAAAGAAACATTTTCAATGTTGACGTAATTTATTAGGGGCAAAAGATTGTCCAAACCAACCTGGTCCCACGTGCAAAAGTCGTTTCTTGAGATGTTTGATATTATCAGAGGATGTTCACTTTAAAACGTAATATCGGAAATGATCTGTATCACTTTTTATTCTATTAATGACGCAACTTTTACATACCACGCACACATTACATTAAAATGTCACTCACAAAGTCAAAATGGGGCAAACCTGGCTGGCTGGATGTTAGTTTCCTGACAGGATTTAGTTTTTTGTTTATGGCAGGGACCCCATATGTATTTTTATCGTTTATATCTTTATCAGGAATTAAGAGTTAGATTATATTAGTATATCAAATATCAGTACCACTGGATATAAGAAATATCCTTAATAGAACCAATAGAACAACATAAAGTAGGCAAAAAGATCTCAAAAAGCAGCGCAGCATTCCCTGCTCTGAAGAAACTGTGGAACACAGGAACCCAAAACAAAATCTTAAAACTGCTGAATTTTGGGAAATATTCCAATAGTCTAATATTACACCATTTGGAGAAAGACTAATGCTACAAATCAGACAGATGTCACACCAACAGTCAGACATGGTGGTGGCAGTGTGATAGTATGGGGCTGCTCTGCAACTTCATGACCTGGATGACTTGGTGTAATTGATTGAAACAAGAATTCTGCCCCCTAGCAAGAAATCCTGATGGACAATGTTTGACCTTTGACTGTACATAAACTTCAAACTTTATTGGCAAGATTAACCCTCCCACTGACTTTTTGGGTGACCCCGTGAGGAAAGTTGACCATTGAGCAGGATTGATGGTTTATCCCTTGAGGTCCACGTGGCAGGGGGGAGGTGGTGCTCACTCCTCACCCCTGCCACATGGACCCAAGGGATAAACCATCAACCCTGCTCAATGGTCAACTTTCCTCGCGGGGTCACACCCATTAGGACAGTGGGAGGGTTAAAAAGCACAGTGGGTCAAAACCCCAGTTTTCCAGCTCCTCTAAGATGCTGACTAGAGATACTTTACACTACAGAGACACTGGCTTGAATTTAAGTTTACTTATTATTTATATTCAACATTTTAACAAATGTATCAACCTTTTTATTGTACTTTCCTTCTCCCTCCAGCCATTTATTTGTGCAAGCGCACCATGCAGAACAAAGCCAGGCTTGAGCTCGCTGACTACGAGGCAGTGAGTAAACGATCACTTTTTACCACTTTTGCTATCTTTGTGCTTGAACATAATAAAAAAAGAACAACTCGTGGTTTTCAGAATTTCAAAATGTGAACAAAGAATTGTATCAAATTGTTAAATCAGTTTTCCAAGGGCAGAAACTGATGGCAGTAATTTCCTGGCCCTCAACCAAAAGAACCTGCAGATCGATGCAATCTCATGAGACGAGTTACTGTAGTGCTGTCCACAACAGCAATCTACCTCACTTTATTATTTCAAATGACTCTGCAACTAATGTCCAGTAAACCTCTTCCCGCTTCTATTCAGGCCACTTCATGCCTGCAGGTCTTGTTGGTCCCACTGTTAACACTTCCTGTTGGTCGGGGTGTTTCACTTTGTAATGAGGTCATTTCTGTGTCTAATAAACTACATCTATTAAACACCACCGTACACTTAGAGGGACTCTACTCTTAACGAATTCAGTTGAGCTATTAATAGGTCATATAAAATACTAGGGATGTAAGAAAATATTGATATGGCAATATACCGTGATATTTTTCCAACAATATTATATCAATATTCAAAAGCCGTGTATCGGAAATATCGATATGGCAATATATCATGATATTTTTTCCTGCGATTATTACATCGAGATTCAAAAGCCGTGTATCTAATCCTTGAAAGAATTTACATGCAAACTTTTGTGTATTTTCTTTTCGTTTTGTGCAATTCAATTGCCACCCGCTAGTTGGCAGCAGTGTGCAACGGGTTTTGTTTCCACCATTGAACTGTAAATCCCTCCATCATGGTTCAGATACCTCATGTTAAACATGTTACGTATCAGTTTGGACTGTTTATTGAACATTCTTACAATAAATTCAGTAAAAAAATTGCTTGAAACGTCTGACTGAATGTATCGCAATATATCGTGATATATCGTATCGTCTCCCCTGTATCGTGATATGTATCGTATCGCCAGAATTTCAAAAATACACATCCCTGTAAAATACATAGATTATATCCTCCCCTCACACACACACACACACACACGCACACACACACACACACACACACACACACACACACACACACACACACACACACAAATTAAAATAAAGGAAATCTCAATCCAAGACTTTTTCAAGCATTGGTAGCGCTGTAGTTGACCTTTTAACATGATTGCAAGCGGCAGTGTGTTCGAGTTTAAGTATATTATTGCAAATAAATTGAATAAACTCAACATTTTTTAACCTAAGTGCCCATCCTACAACCAGAAGGTTTCAGATTCAAGCCCCCCTTGCCTGCTGGTGGTAGTCGGATGGACCGGTGATGCCTGTGCTCAGTAGCCTCGCCTCTGTCAATGTGCCTCTGGGCAGCTGTGGCCACATAATCACCCCTAATCTAAATGTGTGTGTTTGAATGAATGACTGTTTGTGTTGTAAAGCACCTTGGGGGGTTGTGGAACCCTTGAAGGTGCCATTTCAACCATTTTTACCAATGATGCTCAACGTTTCTCCTCCAGGAGAACCTTGCCCGGCTGCAGAGGGCTTTTGCCAGGAAGTGGGAGTTTATTTTCATGCAAGCTGAAGCTCAAGTCAAGTGAGTCCATTTCTGAATCCGTCTTGTTTTTTCATGCCATTGTGATATTGTGACAAATTGGAAAGCATTTAACACAACACATTTCAGTGAGCTTCTGTTTCACTGTAAGACTGCCATCTGGTGCCTGGTATTGGGAAGCACATAGCTCTTTCTGTCAAAGTCAGGAAGCATTATTCACTTTCATCTGTGAAAAATTCATAAAATATGTCGCAGCATAATTTGTTGCACCGTGTTTTCTACAAATGAGGGTCATGTTGGAGGCAATAGCATGCTCTCTTAAGTCAGAGGAGTAACAATACAGAGCCAAGGCCTTTCTGCAAATGTCGGTTATGTAAGGGCTTGGCCTCACCAGAGGCAACACCAGTGTCACTTAGTGAAGCAAGCAGACAGATCAGGACCCACACTCCTCAGCCTTTTGCCCTTGAGACTGGCCTTTTGGGATTTGTGTGACAGAAAGCAGACTGTGTTGTGCTTGAGCTGAAATCTCAGCTCCCGTTCTCCTCCACCCACAGGATCGACAGAAAGAAGGACAAAGCTGAGAGGAAGATCCTTGACAGCCAGGAGAGGGCGTTCTGGGACGTACATCGGCCTGTGGTGCGTTCATGGTTCATAACAGAGGGGGAAAAGAAACACAATACAGATTGATGAGGTGCTGCAACTTGAATCAGAAACGAGCAAAACAGAAAGTGACACAAAGAAAATCTGTAATGTAAATGAATTTTAGCATTCAAAATGCTGAGAACTTCAGATTTGTTGTTGTTTTCATTTGCACACTTTTTTTTTTCAAATAAATACTGCACAAAGAAACAATAGAAATGTCTGATTTTTACAGCCGGGCTGTGTTAACACCACTGAGATGGACATCCGCAAATGTCGAAGAGAGAAGAACCCACACAGGGTGAAAAAGGTCCCAAACTTGATTTTTTTTAAATCTCACAAAAACAACTAGTGCAGTAGACACAAAAAAGCACTTAAAATCTGCATACATAAGTTACTTTCACAAATTTAAAGGGGACAAATTATGCAAAACTCTATGCTATGCTATGTGTCTCTACTGCTTCTATAAACACTCCAAATGTAATTCAAAACAGACCATACATGTTCTGTGTTTAATTTTAGAAATTATGTGTCTAAAAAACAAACAGTTTCAAAACATTCCTGTTTGTGATGTCACAAACAGGGGAATTAGCATTCATTGGATATAGGAGCCTCTCAGCTTATAGCAGCCTGAGCAAGGCCAGTAAAAGCTTGTTTTCTTAAAGTGACATTCTAGAAGGTACTGAAATTGTCATGAATAAGTCTGAGCAAATCGTTTTATGTAAAAGAGATTTAGTACAAAGAACCTCATGAACGTGTGTTTTGTTTGGGCGATAGAACTATTATAACTGAAGACAAAAAGTCATAATTTGCCCTTTTAAACCTACTGACACAATTACCCAACACACCCCACCAGAGCAGAGCAACTATGGTATTGATCTGCATCTTATCCCTCCTCCCATCCAGTCGGTCTATGGTGTACCAGATGATGGTCAGAGCCAGCCTAGTCCGGTCCATGTGAGCTCCCAGCCGGCCAGGAAGCCCACCAGAGAGGATGTTCAGAAGGAGGTGAGTCTGTATTTTCTCTACTATTATCTCCATCCCTCTGCACTCATTCATCACACAGACAACTGAAGACATAGACTGATGAACTGTTACCGTTTTTAGCCTTCTCATTTCCTTCCTCTGTCAGATTACCTTCTTGAACACCCAGCTGGACAGACACTGTATGAAAGTTTCCAAAGTGGCTGACAGTCTGATGACCTACACAGAGCAGTTCTTGGAATACGACCCCTTTGTGTCAGCCGTAGATCCATCCATCCCCTGGATAACTGATGATACCACTTTCTGGGATTTGGAGGCAAGGTGAGGCTGCATGGTCTGGGATGTGGTCTGAGAGTTCATATGGGGACATTGATGAGGTGGTGGGTCATCTGTGTGTTTCTCATCCTAAACAAGCACTCACTTTGGTTAGTCTTCTTTTCTCTGCATTATTTTGCCCTGATCAGTCGTGAACCCAGCCAGCAGCGTGTGAAGAAATGGGGTTTCTCCTTGGAGGAGGCCCTGAAAGACCCAGCAGGACGAGACCAGTTCTTGAAGTTCTTGGAGTCGGAGTTCAGCTCAGAGAACCTGCGGTGAGGCTGGAATTTTTCTCCAAACCTGTGTGGTTATGTCTGTTTGACTAATTCCAGAGTGTTTCTGACTTTTATGGGCTGATTTTAGGTTCTGGTTAGCAGTGCAGGACATGAAACGAAGGCCACACCAGGAGGTGTCCTCGAGGGCTCAGGAGATCTGGCAGGAGTTTCTAGCCGAGGGAGCACCGAGCTCCATCAACCTGGACTCCCACAGCTATGAACGAACAAGCCAGAACCTCAAAGACCCTGGAAGATACAGCTACGAGGACGCTCAGGTGGACTAAGCTGTATTTAAACATCTTTGCGTTCATAAACCGTTAGGATGTGCACCGTGAATTCATGAAACCCACCCCTCTACTCATGTGAATAAAAGGGGAATGATGGAACGCATTGGTTCCAGGACTTAATGAGGCGAGTAACGCCACAAAGAGGTTGTTCGATGGGTTTCACCGTGGATGTCTTTGGTTTGAAAAACAAACTGCAAAGCCTCTCCCTCACACCACTCAACTCAGTTCTCTCTGGACTCCTGATCTGATCTGACTCACATATTCAGGGATTCTCTTGACCTTTCTCACCCTTTCTCCTGCAGGACCACATATTCCAGCTAATGAAAAGTGACAGCTATGCACGCTTTTTGCGATCTAACATCTACCAAGACCTCCTACTGGCTAGAAAAAAGGTGAGCTACACACACACACCTCGATCTCTGATCTGCACTGCTCTGACACACTCGCCGCATCGCTCTTATTTTTTTTATGCTTGGCTTGCGATTAAAATAAAGTCCCAGATCTGTGATTTATTTTTTATGAATTCAGTCAAATATGGTAATTTTTAAAAACTATAAGATGTAAAGCACTTTGCAAAAATACCCTAAAGCAAAATCTGAGGAACTTTGACACGTTGTCATTAAATTACATTTTGGTTGGAAAAATCTTTTTTACAGATTCTGTTCTTAACTTTCATGGACAGGATTTCTAGGCTCGGCCGAGGTGTTGAGAGGATCCGTTTTGGTGGCCTAAGGATCAGGTCTCTGCTTGTTGCAGATGATGTGGTCCTGTTGGCGTCATCGGACTGTGATCTCCAGCTGTTGCTGGAGCGGTTCGCAGGCGAGTGTGAAGCGGCTGGGATGAGAATCAGCTCCTATTAATCCGAGACCATGGTCTTAAATGGGAAAAGGGTAGAATGCCTTCTCCGGGTCAGGGACGAGGTCCTGCCTCAAGTGGAGCAGTTTAAGTATCTCGGGGTCTTGTTCACAAGTGAGGGAAAGATGGAGCGTAAAGCTCTCGATTTACCGGTCAATCTACGTTCCTACCCTCACCTATGGTCATGAGCTTTGGGTAGTGACCAAAAGAACGAGATTGCGGATAAAAGCGGCCAAAATAAGTTTTCTCTGCAGTGTGGCTGGGCTCTCCCTCAGAGATAGGGTGAGAAGCTCGGTCATCCAGGAAGGGCTTGGAGGAGACCAGCTCAGTGGCCTAGTGGTAGAGTGTCCGCCCTGAGACTGGGAGATCAGGGTTCGATTCCTGGTCGGGTCATACCAAAGACTGAAGAAAAATGGGACCCAATGCCTCCCTGCTTGACACTCAGCATTAAGGGGTTGGATTGGGGGGTTAAACCACCAAATGGTTCCCGAGCGCGGCTGTGTCCTCAGCTCACCGCTCCCCCAGGGGATGGGTCAAATGCAGAGAACAAATTTCGCACACACATCAGTGTGTGTGACAACTAATGGGACTTTAACTTTAACTTTAGACCCGCTGCTACTCCACGTCGAGAGGAGCCAGTTGATTTGGCTCAGGCATCTGGTCAGGATGTGTCCTGGATGCCTCCCTAGTGAGGTTTTCCGGGCACATCCAACTGGAAGGAGACCCAAGGGAAGACCAGGACACACTGGAGAGACCACGTCTCTTGGCTGGAACACCTTGGGATTCCCCCGGAAGAGCTGGCCCAAGTAGCTGGGGAGAGGGAAGTCTGGGCGTCTCGCCTTAGGCTGCTGCCTCATGACCCGACTCTGGATAAGCGGCTGAAAATAGATGGATGGATCATTTTTACAGCACAAACTTTATTTGACATCGCATTTCTTAGATATTTGTCAAATTTATTGATGCAAATGGTAATTTCAAATAGTGTTACCACATTTATAACTGATTATTAAAATATTCAAGAAAACCTTATGGCAGTTTAAGAGAAACTGGGCCCTTAAAGGACACCACTACTGTTACCTAAATGCAGGAGCAAGGAAGTTGCTGAATTATTCATGAAGGGAAAGATCTTATAAAACATTACATCATAGCTCAAACTCTTCTGCAAAAGGGATCAACTCCCGACACTGACGGGAATGCTAATCCATCAGAGCCAGGTGTAACTTAATGATTTCTTTTCTTTGATTTACTTCTATTAAAATATTTGGCTAAAGCAGCTGTTTATTTGAACAAAATGGAGCTTTTCAGCAGATCACAGCTTTTTCTGCTCATGCTAGCTGCCCTTTCTCATTTGAACACTACTCCCTCTGCTGGCACACCACTGACCCCACATCCTCTTCCTCCATATGCAACCCCTCCTTGCACTTACCCCTTTGGCCCTTGTTTCTGCAATGCTTGGCCTCCCACCCCCACCTTTATTCCCCCTCACTAACGACGTCACTTTGACTCCCCGTCAACACACAACCTGACCCAAACACTCACCCTGCTTCCCCCCCTCCCACAACAGCAGCCAGCAGACACTGAACAGGGCCGCCGCACCTCCTTGGAGAAGTTCACCCGCAGTGTGGTAAGTCATTTGGAGCTGGGGCTGTTCACATCACAGAAACCACACTGGCTTCCTCACCATCAGTGGCTTTTGCAGTTAACACCATATCACACTCTTCTCTGGCTTTTAACTGTGTGTTAGGATGTGTTTGTGTGAATACGTAGTTGTGTGGATGGTTGCAGCAAAGCAGGATAGATGAAGACATCAAATTGACATATTTTCTGGGTCTTTCCATGTCAGTTCAACCAATGGTTCACTCCCTAAAAATTTACTCTGTAATATATATTAATTAGGGGGTTTTGCACTTTAAGTAAATTAAATTAAAATTATCAATGTTTTTATTTGAAATTATTATTATTATTATTATTATTATTATTATTATTATTATTTTAAATCAAAGCATCCTTTATCTTTTTTATTTTTATTTTATTTTATTTATTTATTTATTTATTTCCCCCCCCCATGTCCTGTCTGACTGTTAATGCAAACAGAATTGATGTCTGAATGATGGTGACAAGCCTTACAGATTTACTCTCAGGTGGAGCATCAAAGCGTCTGCTTTTAATGTCACGCCTGATACTTACAGCTTTATTGTTATTTTTTTTTGAATGCTTTTTAATTCCGACCAGACACGGAGTCAGAGGTGAAAGAGAAAGGAAAAGACAAAAGGTGGGGAGAGAGGGGGGAAGAGGGGTCCACAAAATTAAACAATAATGAACAAGAGTCTGCTTCTAGACCTGCAGAAAGAGAAAGAAGAGAAGAAAAAAAGGGACACACAACAATACAACAGGAGCAAGCTATCACTGCATCAACTTGAAGAAATATACAATCAGCATTGTTTAACTGAACAATCACATGATAATAAATCAAAGTGCATTTAGTGGCAACGACAGCCTTAAGACATGTGTTGAATGTGCCCAAGCCCATCCTTATGAGAGCACCATGTTTACATAAGGTTTCTCTATAAAAGCGTCCAATAGAGAGCGTGAGGGACCACAGATCTGCCCCCCAAAGATGTGTAGGAGACGGAGGGAGCTCCAAGTCCCAGAGATCCAGGCACTACCCCAGAACACAGGAACCCCAAGGAGACTGCAACCAGGAAGGCCCCCGCCCCCCTCGAGAGGCGCAGAGGATCGCCCCGGGGGGCCACAACCAGCAACCGGCAGAGTCCCGGGAGATAGCAACAGCAAGCGACAAAATAAATAAATAAATAAATGTTATTATCATTATTTTATTTTATTTTATTTTATTATTGTGAAGCTACACAACAAAAAGATCAAATGTGCATAATTATTTTAGCTAATCATCATTTATGTGTTTTTCCAACAAATTTCAATGCAAACAAATGCAAAAATCTCAAATCAATTAATGTATTTTTTTAAGTACAAAGTTGTATTAAAAAGGCAGCTTTATTTATCATTTCCTGAGAGAGAAAAAAAAAACAAAAGAAAATACTCATCAACAGAAGAACTATGAATGTCAAAAAGAGCAGAAAGAAGAAAAATGTTTATGTCGTGTGCTCCATTAACATTTTTATTATGCAATACGACTATGGCTTTGGCCTGTTGAGCTTCAACACAACCTATTTGTGACTTCTATGTGGGATGCTAATCAAACACGATTCCTAAGAAATAGTTTATTTTACCCTTTAAATCTTCATCCCACCCATTATTAATTATGCATAATTGTTCTTTTCATCATAAAACAACGTTCGGGATGGACTGAGTGACAATCTGGTTTATGTCAAACCACATTTTTTACTTGAATCAAATTCATATCTTGAGTTTCCTCATTTAAATCAGATCCAGAATAAAATTATGTTCAATCATCAGCAAATAAAAGGCTAACAAGCATGCCTCTACCTCACCGTGTACTTTGACTCACTTATACGCGTCTGTTTCTGACCAGAACTGAAATAAAATGTACCCAACATGCCACACACATTACATATTTGTAACACAAAAATGTTCACAAGGCCTCTTGCAAAAGCTAGGTTAGTTTGATAACTAAGGTAGAGTAACACATTCAGTTTAAGGTGAATAAAAACACGAGAAGGAACATTAATGATGGTTAAAGTGACATGGAAAAGCACCTTAATGCAACATGTTTGTCTTCCACCATCTGTAATTCATCTGATCTGATGTTTTAGGGCAAGTCTTTAACAGGAAAGCGGCTGGCAGGCCTGATGCAGTCGTCCTGACACCGCCTGTTCTGGAGGGGAACAGCCGGATCCCGTTGGTGGGGGATCAGCCACGCAGGGACCAGGATGGCGGCACCGGAGCGGACTGGGCTGCTGCGGAGCCTATTGGACTTTGCTCCGATGTCTGCTGTCCTAACGGTGGTGTGGTTCTGGGCCTGCTGGAGCTCAACTCCCTGAACAGAACTGCCGAGAAAAACTGCAAAAGGAACTGACCGATCACATGGCATGCAGCATAAAGCACATCCAGACCAAGGAGCCCTGCTTCTTCATCACGTCAGTGGCAAGCTGGTTGCTTTGATTTGATGCTGATTGTTTTCATTTTTGTTGTTTTTGTTGACAGGATCTGCCACATTTATAAGGATAAAACTTGTTTAAGTTATGTAAGGTCAACCCAAATCAGACAGGGATCCATTTCTGTTTTCACAAAGGCAGCCAGCAATAAAGGAAGTCTGAAACCACTCTTTTTCTCTTAAAATCCATCCTAATCTAGATCCAAAACTTATATTCTATCTATTTATTTTTATATGAAGTCCATGTGAGTTAATGGTCGACACATTTAGCCATCAATCAGATAATAGCGTCAGATAATAGCGCCCCACAAACACAGATATTCTTTCTACAAAACACTGATTTCTTTTTAAAAAAAGGCTTCACTACATTCCAGAATCAAGCACAAGGGCTTAACGTAGCAATCATACTGCACTTCTGCACGTTTCATCTAAATATGGTCACACTTCCTCCTTTCAGCTGACAAATCGGATCACTGCTCCCACAGCTTCTAGGATAACGGTTCTAGTGTTTTAGAAGAGCTGTATCAACTCCAAAAGGATCTGAAAACCTTAGAGGCCTAAAACCTGGCTCACTAGCATGATTTGAGCTTTTAGATTAGGTGCAGTTGTTATAATCATGAAACAGATCTGTGTGCTCGTGTGGTGTGTAAAGTCTTTAGTGCCATGGGTCCATCCAGTGCAGTTTAAACCACAGGACCAGGACCAGAGTGTTTCCAGTCTACCTAGTGTGGGATTATTCCCATTTCCTTGCTTTTCTTAGTTTGCACGAATATCTCCCATTTTCCGTTCCTCAAACCAACACCCAATTGTTTCATTTATGTTTGAGAAGTTCTTGAGTGTTTTTGGGTGTGAATCGATGCATGTTGGAGGATGAGCTCTGAAAACGGATCAGGGGAACAGCCTCCTGAAGCGTGCTGCACACGGAGAGGTCCTTCAGCTCCACTGTGGCTGCTACCTTCACAGGAAGTGCTGCGAGGGAGGAGATTTTACTCCCACAGCTCCCCCATGAGGCTGCGGACCGCTGCAGTGGCAAACCAGAACACACCTGAATGACCCTTTTTTTTTATAACTAGATTTCCTGCAATGCACTGTACAGGCCGTCTTACTAATTATCATTAATATCATAAACCAGTAACCTCTTAATTATAAGGCAGAGATTCGTAAGTCGATGTTATAAAGACAGTGATACTATAAACTAGTTACATTTGGGTTGTTTTTATTCAAAAGCACATTTTATTATGATAATGGCACAGTACTATGCATGTTACATATTCAGGGCATTTTGTGCTTTTAGTTTCTCAATCAGCAAGATAACTAATGGCACTGTAAAACACTCAACCTGCTATCTGTTCATGGGTACCAAACAATAAAAGCTCTGGACCTGTCTGCTTCTTTGTGCTGCTGCCTGTTGTTCTGAGTCTGAATGAAAAAGAAAATCTCACCAAAGACGTGACTGATAAACATAAACTAGATGTGTTTCACTTTTTTAATTGGGACAGCTGTGTTTTCTTTTGCTGGTTTCAAGTCAATTCAAAAATACTTTATTAATCCCGGAGGGAAATTCAGAAATACTTGACAGAAATCATAAAAATAGTAGCCAATCTTACATGTCTAATTTGCAATTTGTTCTGTTAAACAGTTGTAATGCTGTGTTTGATTGATTGCTTTCCAGCTGTAAGTCATAAATTAACTACTTAGATCTAAGCACCAATCATGAAATGAGACTCATGCATGACTAAGGATTAAAAAAACAGTGATTTCAAGATCTTAGGTGTGTTCTTGCTGTGTCTTTGTAAATCCATGCTTTCGTTCTTTTTTAAACACAGAAACAGTTTTGTTTACCTGTTTGTAGCTACGGTTTCGCCGACAGCTGCCGGCTTCTTCAGGCTGACGCTGATTAAGCCGGCAGCTGTCGGCGAAACCGTAGCTACAAACAGGTAAACAAAACTGTTTCTGTGTTTAAAAAAAGAACGAAAGCATGAAGTGATTTCAAGACTTGGAAAGATGCATTACATGTTACCAGTAAGTTTAATTACTTGTTTTAATATAATTTGAAGTAGCAAATTAGCTCAAACAGTGGCCAGCATCCCCACTCAGGAAGTCGCGAAGATACGATGTAGTGGCGCAGGTCGATGACGTGATGCTCTCTGTCCCAGTTAGCAGAGGTGTGGACTCGAGTCAGACTTGAGTCATTATGTTAATTACTTCTGACTTGACTTGATAAAATCTATAAAGACTTACGACTTGACTCGGACTTGAACACCAATGACTTGCGACTTGAATCGATTTGCATCTGTTGACTTGATGATGACTTGAGCATATTTGATATTTTAGCACAAAAGTGGCCCGACATGGACAAAAATCATAAATCATCTTGGTTCTGGGTTTGATTTACTGCTAAATGCAGCAGCACTTTGTTTAGAATCAACTTCAGTTGCACTTCCTGCTTGTTTGAGCAAATAAATGAAGCTTTAAGAAGCTTTATTTCTGGAATTTATTTATTATCATCGTCATTAAATTGAAGTTGGACAGATGACTTGAATTTGACTTGGAAATTCAAAGTTAAGGACTTAGACTTGACTTGAACTTCCACATCATTGACTTTGGACTCGACTTGGACTTGGTTGTCTTTGACTTGAGACTTGACTGGAATGACTTGTGACTTACTTGTGACTTGTAAAGCAGTGACTTGGTCACACCTCTGCCAATTACGCAGTTATTTGCAGACTTCTTTACGCGCTCGAAGCCTTACATGCACTTTCTAGAGGAGCTTAAGCTGCAGTGTGGGTATTAGGACTGTGTCGTAGACTTGGTTTACAATCTGTCCCACCTCCATACTTCCTGTTTCCATCATATTTGAGTCTGGGAGGTTGCCAAGCCCTCAACACAATCTGCGCCGACGTTTGTAATTCAGCACCAGCAGAGGGTGATCACTTGTTTTGATACTTGGGCTGCAGTACCCATATTTGACCACAGGATGCCATTCCTACTTCACGCATCTTTAAAGAAATCATTTTAAAAAAGACCCCTACAGTTCATCTTGCCTTTTCTAACAAATATTACTATTAAACAGTGACACATGGATATTGTATTAGTCCTGTAGCCCTCAAACATTTAATGTATTCTCACGTCAAACAAAGCAAACACTAAATAACTAACATTTTGTTTTGGATGCATAAAACTCTAAAGTTACTTTAGTATGGGGGCAATTGATTGGATGCTAATAATTTCTGACAAACCTTTATGAATCAACAGCTCAGAGCGGCACGCCAAGCTGCAAATGACAACTAAACATTGCATCTTTTATTTATTGGTGGAACTATCAACTTTCTCATTTGCCTTCTTAAAACAAAGAAACTTCACCTCAGAAAAACTTACAAGCACTCATTAACATTCCTTTTTTTCTTTATTTTTTCAGAACAATAAAAATAGTTTAACAAACGAACACTTCTTCATTCTCTCCATTTTGACTTGTATTTACAGCAGGAAAACAAACAAACAAACAAAAGCCACCCAGTCATTTCAACTCCATCACGTTTTGGCTCCATTCCCCACCCCCCACCCCCCCAGGGGTACCAGGACCTATTGCTGTGTCTGTGACGAGGTATACAGGCTCTTCCGCATTATTCTAAGCAAACATTGCAAACATTTGCACAAGTTTTTAGTCTTTTGTTCAGAGATGCGGGCAGTTCCGACAGGAACATTTAGCAGGTTGTGACACATGCTTTCACTTATCCACATGAGCTTGGGCAGATAGAAGACACTGGTTTTACTGTGCAAACGGCACATGGCTGATACAAAGGAAGACGACAAGATGGAGAGCAAGATTTAGATGCATCCTTTGTCCGGTGGAGATAAACTGCTGTGTGGAGGGGTCCCTGAGGGAAGTGAGCAGAGATGCACAAACAAGTCATAACAGACACAGGAAGAACGATTCTCTTCAATAACGGAGCAGCTGGACACACACACACAGGACGTACACAGCGTGTGTGAAATGTGGGCCTAAACAGCTTTTCTATACAGTACTACAAGCAACGTCTAAACATCATTAAACAATTAAGCCCTCAACGGAAATATTGCAAACAACTCAGAATTAGGTTTTCACCTTTTAAGCCACATCTGAGAAGAGGTTTTACTCTCCAAGTATGAAAAAAACAAAAACAAAAAAAGCTCGTTATTGCAGCCGTTTTCCTGTAACGCGAGTTATTAGAGAAACCCTCCATGTGTTGCTTTTTAATACTGGAATCACGTTTTATTGACCCTCCTCACCACCTTCCTACAATCACATATTAGGGCTGATTAGCTGAACAATCAACAGAGGAAATGGAAGATGCCTGAGTAGCTGACGGTTTTGTGCACCTGATCAGAGGGATCAACACAGTCCAAACAAACCCAAGAACCTGAACTAATCCAACTTTAAGAAGCTCAAAAACACAGAATTATACAGCTGAAGAAAAAGGTGCAAAAAAAAGAGCAGAATCACTGCGATCCTTTAAAATGAAAAACAAACTAAGAATCTAAAAAAACCAGCATCTATGTCAGGGTTTTGTAAACCAGAGGTCTGAGTGTAACAATGGTGGATCTGAGCACCATCTTTATGGCTGTGGGTCATGGGGTCACTGGTCCAATCAGGTCAGAGGGGGTCATGGCTGTCAGAGCTGGTTTCCAGTGTGGAGCGGCAGGCTAGCACAGTGATGAAGATAATGATGTCTTAGCGTCACATCAGATCGCACGGCAGACACAGTCAGAGGAGGCGTGGGCAAACAGGGCTGCTGGGCCCCCAAATGCACCCGTTGGGCGCAATCAGTCCAAAGGCCTGGCCTTTAGTGTTCCCATAGTTCTGAGAGCAGCTCCAGCGCAGTGCAGAGTAGATGAAACAAAGCCGGATGCTTGAAGTTTTAACGTTCACCAAGAAGTCGATGCGTTTCAACAAGAGAGCAGTTGTTTCAATGAAGCCACGTGGCTTGTGTTCATCCGTTGCAGTTGCTCATTTTAGGCCCAAATCAGGAAGGACATGAAGGCTCATTAGATTTTTCTTTTTAGGGTTGAATCGTCTTCTTCACTGGTCATCCCTCCAGCACTAGGCCACGTGCCAACGTGCAGACTGCTCCTACACAACAGAAAACCACGGTTAGACCCACATAATGTGTCTGAACAAAACTAAAAGGTCTGCAGTCGCACAAGCAGCTCTGCAAGTAAGCACAGCAATCAATCCAGAGAAGTGCTAATGTCACTGTGTTTACGATGAAACTGCAAACTTGCTGTAAACAACTGGAAACTAGCACAAACAGAAAGGGGAAAATGGAACTGGGCTGGAAGGGCTTGGACACGTAAAAAAGTAGAAGACAAAGAGAAATTATGATCAAAGAGCATCAAGGGAGGGTCTCGGGAGTGTGTGTCCAGCAAAGTGAAGCTGAAATTTGTGGACAAACAAGGACAAGGACCACAAGCTGTAGATCTATCTGCCATTCATTCATAGTCTGAATATTCTCAGTACCTCCTGTAACGTTAATACTTCAACATTCTCCTTTGTTGTTTTCCTGTTTACCAACAAGGGCATGAGCAGTAGCTCAGGCTAGCATGAGAAGATCAGGCTAGAGTTAGCAGTCGCTCCATTAACACTGGCAGAAGCTTGTGCTAGTGTTAGCAGAAGCTTAGGCTAGAGTTAGCAGTAGCTTGTGTTAACACTTGCAGAAGCTTGTGCTAGCGTTAGCAGAAGCTTAGGCTAGAGTTAGCAGTAACTGGCATTAATGTTGGCAGAAGGCTAGCGTTAGCAGAAGCTTAGGCTAGAGTTAGCAGTAACTGGCATTAATGTTGGCAGAAGCTCAGGCTAGAAATAGCAGTAGCTTGCGTTAACGCTTGCAGAAGGTTGTGCTAGAGTTAGCGGAAGCATAGGCAAGATTTAGCAGTATCTCATGCCAACATTGGCAGAAGCTTGTGCTAGCAGATTAGCAGAAGCTCAGGCTAGAGTTAGCAGTAGCTTGCGTTAACACTTGCAGAAGCTTGTGCTAGCTTTAGCAGAAGCTCAGGCTAGAGTTACCAGTAGCTTGCGTTAACACTTGCAGAAGCTTGTGCTAGCATTAGCAGAAGCTCAGGTGAGCATTGTTCTGCAGTTAACTTTACTGTGACCAAGACTATATTGCCATTACTGAAGTGGGTTGGAATGGGTCTAATGAAGGTCGGAGATGGCACAGACTTTTTGGTATGCTACGTTAGATTACCTCAAGCTGCCTATGCTTAACAAGGTAAATGTGACTTTAATTTCTAGAACCGCTCCAAGACTACATGGATAGTTTACAATTTGGGACGATAGCAAGCATTTCAACTTTGCAGAAGAAATCAATATAATGTTAACTAATTTTGAGCCACCAGGAAGCACAGTTTAAAAAGGGAGACATGTTTGAAACCAGACACTTTGCAAAATCCATTTCAAAACACAATCATGCAAAAATTCAAGTATCTAAAGCAAATCCAAAAAAAATCGTTCACGATGGACTAAATCCAATATACTCCTGGATTCCGAGGAGCCAACAATCAACTTACTTGTTATTATGTCCTCAATCTGCAAAGACTTCTTTATTCAAACATTTCTGGTAGCCTGTGGATTTCCTTCATTTTCACAAAATGAATCTAGAGTGAGAGCAGAGGAAGAGGCCTTCCCAATCAAACTACTGGCTCAAAAACATCCAGTGGTCCTTCAGCGTAGGCCTCTAATAAAGTCCCATCATCGACCAAATGCATCATTTCAAAAGGTTTTAGATGTCCGATTGTGTCGATTCTCCAGTGTTTTTGTTCAAAGCATTCTTCTTCTCCTCCACTGAGGGGAAAAAAAGGTGGAAAAAAGATTGTAGCACACACTCAAATTGTCTTGTTTTGCACTTTCCAGGAAAGCCCTCGACTGTTTGTTGCATTAAAGGTTCATTTATATAGTTATAATATAAAAAAAAGTTTCATAAATTACTCAACAACGTTCAGTAGATAAAATACCACTAGCATTTCTGTCTTGAAATTATGACGTTGTGCTTTCTGAAAACAAAACAAACAAAAACATTAAAAAGAAGCAGCTGATTCTCGTCGGGGGTGATCCATTAGATATATATTTATATATTAAAAATCATCCATTTGAATCAAAGATAGTGGCTCTATCTGTGACGGATGGGTATTCCATTTCCGTTTGCAGCTGGGTCTTCCAGCTCATCGTCCTCAAAGCCGTGAAATGTGGAAGTGTCGCTCTCTGAAGTGGTGCCGAAAAGCTCCTCGGCTCCAGTAAGAGTTCCGTCTTCCTTCTCCTCTCCGCGGTCAGCTGGGATAAAGGAGATGGCAAAACAAGGCAAGTATGACGTAATCAGTTCTGAATAATAAATCCTACTTTATAAACAGTAATCCCACATAAAATTGGTGATACTAACTTACTTGTGCATTGGCAGGCTGAGCAGGGAGACCCAGATTTACCCGTTTTCCTGTTTGAGCATTTATTACAGTAGTTGTTGGGTATGCTGGTCCCACCAGAACTCTTTGGACCTTAATAAATTCCAGGACAAAGACGAAACTTCAGTAAGTGTTGATCAAACCTCATGTGAGTTATTCTATGTCTTTAAATGTCCAAATACAACCAACAGCATCTCCGTAAAAACAGATCGTTCAACCAAAACTTCCACAAGCTTACGTTTGTGTCTGTCAGTCTGTGGTGCAGCGGGGGAGCGGGAGGTCACCGTGCTTCTCTCCCCAGCTCGGCCCTCCTCAGCCAGGTGGGAATGGGTGTAGTGGTAACTTAGTCCTGGGCGATTCCTGTATCGTTTTGTACAGACTGGAGGAAACAGACGGTGGATGTTTCAGCTGCACTTCTTTATCTTCACTTTAACATCCTAACATAACAACAGGCCAAAAAGCACATTGAAGAAGTAACGAGAACAAAGCTGGGTGTTTTAGGCATTACCCTGAAAATAAATTGGGTGGTAATTGGAATCGGCCAATAGTCTGCATGATTGGCCAATCTGAATCTCAAAACTTCATAATGAAAAGTGCGACCTTTCCCTGGTCCATGAACGCACCAAATTGGGTCGCACTGATATGAAAATTTGGGCGGATACCGATATTGTTATTGCTGTCAGGATATATGACATAAATAGTCATAAATGCAAATTTGTTTACACACACACACACTTCTGAGATATTTACCATCACAGTCACATGACCCAAGAATTACTGCATGACCACCCTTTCCCAAAAGAAGCAGATGCACACATGGCAACTGGATGAAAGTAAATATTGGTTGTTAATATCGCCCAGTTTTACTAAAACATGTTTATGTTTATTTATTTGGCAGACACTTTTATCCAAAGCGACGTACGATTTTTAACTTGTAGGGCGTGTTGTGATCTGTAGGGGAAACCGGAGTGCCTGGAGGAAACCCATGCATGCATAGGGAGAACATGCAACTCCACACAGAAAGGCCACAGCTGAGTTTCGAACCGGCAACCTTCATGCTGCGAGGCAACAGTGCTAACAACTGCGCCACCATGCAGCCCAACATGACCAACATCAGTCGATACCGATTTATTGTGCATTCCTCATGCTAAGGCAAGCTAGCAACGTAAACATTTTAGAAATGTTCTTTTTAATTAGATCAAATTTCATTTTATCTTTACATGTTATAGTTCTTTCAGATAAACTGGAAGCAACCAAAACCCATTTCAACAGATCAGAACTGTACATAAATCAGAAATCTGTATCAGCCTTCAAACCCAGAAATGGTGCATTTCTGCAACACTTTCTGGTTTTTGGTGTTGGAGGAGGAAATTGCATTTGAAATATCTTTATTTAAAACTTGGGGTGCACCGATTGCAGTTTTTATGTTTATGTTTTTGTATTTAGCAGACGCTTTTGTCCAAAGCGACTTACAAGTGATCATCGGCATATTGCCCTTGAGGCTAGTTTTTGGCCAATCACTGATCTTTAAAAAAATCTTACTTGCCTATACAGATTTCTGCTGATACCAGTTTTGTCTGAACTAAAAGCAGATTACGTCAATGTTTCAATTTCCTTTTATTGACAAAACCAATATGAATACTCATGCGACAATAACAGTTTCAACTGGACATGAGGTCATGTTCTCAAATATAAATGAACGTTTTTAGCATTGCTGTTTGGACTCCAAAATCTTATTTGTTCCTTTAGACTTTCATTTATCCAACTTTGAAAACAAAGCTTTTGAACCCGTTTTGCTACACTTGTCCAAAAACAATTATTCTATAGCAACGGTTTCCTTTAACAATATTGTAGTTTTTGGCTGATCACCAATCTTGAAAAAATAAATAAATAGATATCGAGGTTGATAGATCGGTGTACCCCTATTTAAACCCATAAGAAAAAAGACTAAAGCACTTTAGAGTACAGTTATACCCGTGAGAGAAATAAACCACTAAATTAATTATTTACTAAAACAGAACAAAGGAGCAAACTAACTGAAGTACCTGCAGTCAAAGGCTTGGCGTTCTGCTTCGGTTTGTATCTGTCTGAAATAAAGAATCAAAAATGAAAATGTGTCATCCAAGTAGGGCTGCAAACAACTGCAGGAGAATCCAATACCCTCTGGATTGGATTTTCCACATAAAACTTGCACGTCCAGGAGCAGCTGAGGTGACCGTGTCACTATTTCACCTGGTTTCATTCACTCAGTGGTTTCAGGTCAGAAAACACACCGACTAGCGAGTTCCACGTGTCTGACAGTGCTAGCATTAACTGTATTTATCAGGAAAAACATCTCCTGTGGGTGTCATCACGTCTACAAACGCCATTTTATAACATTACTGAATAATAAAACCATAAAACAGAAGCTCCTGTTGAAGACTTACTGTCACAGATGTATGGCTTATCATCATCCAGGTCTGCCCTCCTGCGGCCTGAACCTCGACCCTGTAGAGAGAAACAGAAAACGACACATGGAAAAATCCCACCAAGTTAGGTGTGATGACAGTTTTTCTTCCTCCCGTCACTTACTCTTCCCTTTCCTCGATGTCTCCTCTTGGGAATGTCCACCTCGTAATCGTCGTCGTCGTTAAAAGCGTCTTCTGCTGCATCTGCCTCCAGAACCCTCTGATACACACGGTTAGAAATAAAGCCCGATTTTATGCAAAAATAAAAACCAAAAACAATTTCTGAAAAATCAATGCATTTGCAGACTTTTGTGGAATTGCTGATTCCTGTTTCTACAGGAGTTAGATGGAACGTGCAATGTTCCGATAAGATTGGACTCTAAACCAATTATATAAAAAACATTTCATATATGTGTTCTAAATAAAAATCCCCAGTCATGAAGCAGTCCACTTCTCTAATAAAACATTAAATCATTCAGCTAACAAGCCCTGCAGGCTAGTAGGAAAAACTTGGCAAGTTTTGAGCGCCAGGGAGCTCAAGCTGCTGGGGGAACGTTTGCATTTTAAACATTTTTCCCGATGCTCCGCGCGCACCAGCCTTCACGCAGCGTGTAACTAAACACACCTGGATCTCCAGCAGGCTCTCCTCGTCGTTTTTGGAGCTTTTCCGCTTGTCCAAACCTTCTCCTCGCAGCAGAGCCTCTAGCGTAGTGCTCTGGGTGGGCAACCCGTTCCTGGACATGAGGCCACCGTCTGCACAGAGAGAAACAAGCATCATTTAAATCATAACAGACTTCAATCTTTGTTTCAAAATAAAAACATAAATAAACGTGTGGAGATTTGTTGCACAATGTGTTTTTCAAGAAAACTTGTCTTTTTATTATACCGCTTCACAGAGAGGAGGGCTTTTTTTTTCTTCTGTAAGATAAGATCCCGTCACCGAGCTTTTGACAACAAATCTCTGTAAGCACATTCAGCCGACTCAGTCTGCAGGAATCTCTTCTACACAACGTTCTTATCACTTTAACCTGAACACATGCAGATATTTCCTCCTACAGCGAAAATCTGAACAAACAGAGTAGGAGGTGAGCAGGTTGAGCAGGCAAAGCAGAGCAAACAAAAGCTGCAACATCAGTAGGATCTACACATCCTAGTCGCCCTCTCCTCCAAAGCGAGCTTCGTGATCTTCCAGCTGCTTTGTGGATCTTTCGAGAGCAGC